ATTGTAGATTAATGATAACAAAAAAAAATTTTCATCAGAACCTGCAAGAACATGCTTAAGCTTCTGTGAACACCACACTGACAATTGACAATTGCTTCTGTGCTCAACTGCCAGCCCATGACATATGGTTCATTGTGGCAAGACCTGGCAATGTGATGGGTATCTTCTCTTTGAGAGAGCGGTTTGTGTTCTGGGAAGAGGTACACACTCTAGTTTTCAGCCACTCTGTGAATGCCTCCATCTGTCCTACCACCTTCCCTTAGCCCACCCACCGTCCACCAGCCCTCCCACATACTTTCCTGTTCCCTTCCCTTCATTCACCCCTCATCTGTCTATTTACCCATTCACCCACAACTTTAAGGAGGGTGGATGTTAGGTCTTCTTTAAGTGTTTGATAAAATCAAGTGGTGAAGCCATCTAGTCCAGGGGTTTTGTTATTAAGTAATTTTTTTATTCCAAATTCAATTTCATTGTTGGCAATTGGTCTGTTCAGATTTTCTGTTTCTTCCTGGGTCAGTCTTGGAAGGTTGTATTTTTCTAGAAATTGTCCATTTCTTCTAGGTTATCCAGTTTGTTAGCATATAGTTTTTCATAGTATTCTCTAATAATTCTTTGTATTTCTGTGGGGTCTGTAGTGATTTTTCCTTTCTCATTTCTGATTCTGTATATGTGTGTAGAGTCTTTTGTTCTTGATAAGTCTGGCTAGGGGTCTATCTTTTTTGTTTATTTTCTGGAAGAACCAGCTCCTGGTTTCATTGATTCTTTCTATTGTTTTATTCTTCTCTATTTTATTTATTTCTGCTTTGATCTTTATTATGTTCCTCCTTCTACTGACTTTGAGCTTCATTTGTTCTTCCTTTTCTATTTTCATTAATTGTGAATTTAGACTGTTCATTTGGGATTGTTCTTCCTTCCTGAGGTAGGCCTGTATTGCAATATACTTCCCTCTTAGCACAGCCTTTGCTGCATCCCACAGATTTTGCACTATTGAATTATTGTTGTCATTTGTCTCCATATATTGCTTGATCTGTTTTTATTTGGCCATTGATGCATTGATTATTTAGGAGCATGTTGTTAAACCTCAATGTGTTTATGGGCTTTTTTGTTTTCTTTGTGTAATTTATTTCTAGTTTAATACCTTTGTGGTCTGAGAAGCTGGTTGGTACAATTTCAATCTTTCTGAATTTAATGAGGCTCTTTTTGTGGCCTAGTTATGATCTATTCTTGAAAATATTCCATGTGCCCTTGGGAAGAATTTGTATACTGTTGCTTTTGGATGGTGTGTTCTGTAGAAGTCCATTAGGTCCATCTGTTCTAATAGATTGTCCAGTGCCTCTGTCTCTTTGCTTATTTTCTGTCTGGTGGATCTGTCCTTTGGAATGAGTGGTGTGTTGAAGTCTCCTAAAATGAATGCATTGCATTCTATTTCCCCCTTTAATTCTGTTAGTATTTGTTTCACATATATAGGTACTCCTATGTTGGGTGCATAATATTGATAATGGTTATATCCTCTTGTTGGACTGACCTCTTTATCATTAAGTAATGTCTTTCTTTGTCTCTTGTTACTTTCTTTGTTTTGAAGTCTATTTTGTCTGATACAATACTGTGACTCCTGCTTTTTTCTCCCTATTATTTGCATTTAACATATTTTTCCACCCCTTCACTTTTAGTCTGTGTATGTCTTTGGGTTGGAAGTGAGTCTCTTACGGCAGCATATAGATGGGTCTTGTCTTTAATCCATTTAGCAACTCTATGTCTTTTGATTAGTGCATTCAGATTAGTTGTATTTGATGTATTTACATTTAGGGTGATTATCAATAGATAAGCTAATTATTGCCATTGCAAGCTTCAGATTCATGGTCACCAAAGGTTCATGGGCAGCTTCTTTACTATCTAGCAGTCTGACTTAACTCGTTTACCACACTGTTTCAAACACAATCTAAAGGTTCTTTTCTTTCCCTCACTTCTTTTTCTTCCTCCTCCATTCTTTATATATTAGGTGTCTCTGTACTCTTTGTGTATCCTTTGACTGACTTTATGGGTAGTTGATTTAATTTTGCATTTGCTCATGACTAATTGGTCTACTTCCTTTACTGTAGTTTTATTTTCTCTGGTAACAGCTCTTTAGCCTTAGGAGTGCTTCCATCTATAGCAGTAGAGACAGTTCATGGGAGGTAAATTCTCTAACTTTTGCTTATCTGGAAATTGTTTAATCCCTCCTTCAAATTTAAATGATAATCTTGCTGGGTAGAGTGTTCTTGGTTCGAGGCCCTTCTGTTTCGTTGCATTTAATATATCATGCCACTCCCTTCTGGCCTGTAAGGTTTCTACTGAGAAGTCTGATGATAGCTGATGGATTTTCCTTTGTATGTGATCTTTTTTCTCTCTCTGGCTGCTTTGAATACTCTGTCTTTATCCTTGATCTTTGCCATTTTAATTATTATGTGTCTTGGTGTCATCCTCCTTGGGTCCCTTGTGTTGGGAGATCTCTGCACTTCCATGGCCTAAGAGACTGTTTGCTTCCCCAGACAGGGGAAGTTTTCAGCAATTATTTCCTCAAAGAGACTTTCTATCCCTTTTTCTCTTTCTTATTCTGGTACCCTTACAATGCAAATATTATTCCATTTGGATTGGTCACACAGTTCCCTTAATATTCTTTCATTTCTAGAGATCCTTTTTTCTCTCTGTGCCTCAGCTTCTTTGCATTCCTGCTCTCTAATTTCTATTTCATTTACTGTCACCTCTACCTCATCTAATCAGTTTTTAAATCCCTCCATTGTATGTTTCATTTCAGATACTGTATTTTTCAAAGTCTGTTTCTCTTTCTTGACATCCTCCCTGAGTTCTTGAATATTTTTCTGTAGCTCTATGAGCATGTTTATGATTTTTATTTTGAAATCTTTATCAGGAAGATTGGTGATTTCAGTTTCACTTGGCCCTCTTTCTGGTGTTTGAGGGATTTCGGTTTGTACCAGGTTCTTTTGCCATTTCATAGTCCTAATGATTACTATAGAATAATAACCTTGTGTCAGCTGTGCCCTCTAGTGCCCAGAAGCTCTACTTTCTGGAGCTGCTCAGCCTCTGGAACAATGGAGAGGGTCACAGGCATGGCAGTGCCAGTGCCTGCCAGGAGGAAATAGCTCTTTCCTGCTTCCCTGTTGTAGTACCTGCCTCACTGCCAGGGCCAGTGGGCCAAATGTGCAGGGAAGAGCCTCTATGCTACACCCTTATAGCTGCTGTAGGCAGGGCTGCCCTCTGACTGGCCTGATACAATGGGCAGGACAGCAGGTTTGCAAACCAGGGCCAGAGGGGAGGAAGAAGTAGCAGGCTGTGTATTGCCATGTGGGGCCTCAGTGCTGCATTGCCAGCCAGAGGGTATGGAGTGCGTGAAGCTCCTGAAAGTTCCCAACCTGCTGTGATGAGTGTGCTGGGACTCTTTTGTCCACCTGTCCTGAGCAGCAAGCTCTGTGTAATCCTTGCCTCTTTAGCATCCCTCCCACTGTTGGGAAGTCTTTCAAAGTGCCCACCTTTCTTTTCTCCCAGAGCTTCCAGTTGTGGGTACCTGTTCTCCACAAGCAGCTGGAATCATAGTCTCTCCAAGTATTCTGCCTGTCTTTGCTTTCCAATCCCTCTAATCTCCAGAGCACCATGTAAACTGGATTTTCACTCCCTGAGTAGGTCTCCAGGGGTGGGTATTTAGCAGTCCTGGGCTTCTATTCCCTCCCCATTCAGTTTCTCTTCTTCCTTCCAGTGATCTGGGATGGGAGTAGGGCTTGGGTCCTGCGGGATCACGGCTTTGTTACTTCACTCTTTTCTGTGAGGTCTTCTCTTTTCCCCAGATGTAAGTCATCTGTTGCAATCTTCTTTCCAGTTGCTCCTTCAGAATTAGTTGTAGTTTATGTATTTTCATGGTATGTGGTTTTGGGAGGATGTTTCTGCCTCACTTTTTGAGCAGCCATCTTGTTTAAATCCATTTCTACTCTTTTTATGTAACATTTTGCAATGATACAAATGTAGGTATACTCTTTATTTGCCATTCAAGAGGTCACTGAATTAGATGTTTTCATAGTTTTATGTGGCAAAATCAGCTACAATTTGGAAATATTACCAAGTACCTGCAAAATTGGGCAATAAATTCTAAATGGCTGAAGTGGCCCAGAAAGACCAATTTACTGTTGATGCTGCTGACTCCCAAAACTAGTGTTATGTAACATTTTTCATCAAGTTCAAGTATCTTTTGGAGTCAGGCAAGATAAGAATGATTAAAAACTCAGATGGCTGAATGAATGGTTGGAAACATTTCCATGATTTGTATCTTGATAGAATTTAAAAGAAATCTTTCCCTGTACTATTGTTTTCAGCTTTCAAGGATTATGTTACCATCTGAAGTAGCTGCGGTTCCGTACAACCTTGCCATAGCTTAACCACGTGCCAACCCTACATCCAGGATGGTCACAGCAGGACACATGCTGCATGGTATCACTCCCACGTAATGAGAATTTAACTTTCACAGAGCCATCGGGAACTGCCTGTGGAAATACTACAATGTGAGATGTGTTTGCAGTGCCATCTGTCTACACCAGAAAGAGTAGGGTGATCTGGGGGAGCACTCTGGTTCCCTAAGCAGCTGACCTCACACAATTACTAAAAGGGTGCTTTTAAAAACTCAGAATATGCTATTGACAACTTTTCCTTAAACAAACAAGATATGTGCATTCTATACTGTTCAGTGAAAATCTAAATTATCTGCTGAACAGAGGAATTTTGTGGAGGGAGGCCTATAGCTTTCCAAGTGTTGAGGGAAAACTCACATCCGACCCCATGGAGGGTACACAGGGGGAGATGCAGACAGTCTTGTTTTTACCCTGGAGCAGGGGTGCTCACATTACAGCTGGAGCCTGTAAAATGCAGACTCTGATATGTCAGGCTTTGATGATCATTCCAGGTGAGTCCTTTGTTATTTTTAGTACTTTTAATCATGTGAAAGGTCAAGATGCTGACATCTTGCCATATTCACATTTATTTCTGAGTAAGAAATTTAAAAATACAGCTGCAACTCAACTCCTCCTTTAATTTCTTTCCCTCCCTGCATTCCTGACATAACCACTATCCTGAAGACTGAGTGCCTTGTTTCCATATGTGTTTGTATACATTTATTTTGATAAAATAATATGGCCTATTTTTTCAATGCTTTTATAAATATGACATGCGTACAACTATGCACATCAATTTTTGGTTGGCTTTTCTTACTGACATCTGCTTTTGCTGTATGTCCACATTGATATGACACTTGCAACATGATATTCCATTTGTGATGTATGTCCATACTAGTGTGTATGGATTCAGGATGATATATCATGTGTGATGAATTCATGGCTTGCTTATCCACTTCCTACTATCTGGCAGGTAGGTGGTTTCCACCTTTGCTACTCCACAAAGAGATGCGAGAAACAACTTGGAACCTGTGTCCTTGTGTACATATACAAGGAAAGCTAGCAAGGAAACTGTTGAACAGTAGAGTATGTATATCTCCTTCCTGCACTGATATGCAAAACAGCATAGTACAGTGGATTGTTTTCCAATGATTCATTGCCTGTTGTGCTCCAGGTCCTGTTCTCCTGCTGAGGATGTATTGGTGACAGAAACAGCAGCTCCTCCCCTCATGAAACACAGAGATATTAATCAAATAATGAGCTGCATGATTAGCTCTGAAGGCAATAAGAAGAATCTAGGAGAACAGGTGATGGAGGGACCCAACTCAGTCTGGTAAATGAAGATTCAGGATGTAACATGCAGCAAGGATCTAAATTAAGTGTCAGTCAACCAAGTAAAGCACATTCCATACAGAAGGAGTAATGTCTACACAAGACTCAAAGAGGGTGTAGTCTTGGGTCATGCAGTTCCTAGTGTATCTCTGGACCAGGGATTCCATGGCAGTCTGAATGGGAAGGCACATGTCTTTATCAGGGTTCTGCAGAGAGACAGAACCAACTGGAGATATACGTACATGTAGACTTCTGATGGCTGATATGTATATGTGTACATACACACATATATAATGCGCATATATGTATATCATATGTATAATTATATATATACTATATATACTCTATGTATAATTATGTATTTTACAATATAATGTGCATATACATCTATACACAGATATGGAGACTTATTATCAGAATTGGCTCATGTGATCATGGAGGCCAAGAAGACCCATAACTTGCCTTCTGCAAGCTGAAGGCCCAGAGGAGCTGATGGTGTGATTCAGTCAAATTCTGAAGGTGTGAGAATTGGGGACAGTGGTGTAAGTACTAGTCTGAAGCTGAATGTCAAAGAGAATGAATTCACCCTTCTTTCCCCTTTTGCTCTATTCAGGCCATCAACAATTTGGGGGATGCCCACTCCCACAGGAGAGGACAACCTCCTTTACCCAGTTTACCTATTCAAATGCTACTCTTCTCCAGAGACACCTTCACCGACATACCCAGAAATAATGTCCTACCAGTTGTCTGGGCATCCCTTAGACCCGTCAAGTTGATACATAAAGTTAACCATCACAGGAGAAACTTATTCTGCATTTTGGGCCATGATCCATTTAGCCTGGGCAGAAATTTGGGTAGCTCTACAAGGGCACTCTTGATGGAATTGAACTGACAGCTTCCCAGTGCAGGTTTATACAATGTAGGTAGAGACTCTAGGTTGGTGAGAAGTCCAAGCTGTGTGAGATGTAATGAATCTGTTCTTTGTTACGATGTGTTCATTTGTAGGAACCCCAAACTCTCAGTAAAAGGGGGTTGAACTCCACATCAAATTTGGATGCTCTGGTGAATCAATGAAGGAATGTTTTCACAACAGGGGGCATTGAGAATGTCAGCATCAACCCCATAGAAATAACATATTAATAACAAGTAGGACACATCTCACAAGGATCAGGTGAGAAAGCAACAAAGAACACAAACTTTAGAGACTGCCAATTTACACTTTTTCCACAATGAGCATCAAGACTTTTTTGAGAGCTGCCTTGACATCCTTGTTCCTAAGAGTGTAGATGAGAGGGTTCAATGTGGGGCTCACAGTGGAATAAAGCACAGCCACTACCTTGCCCGTCCCAGGAGAGTAGCTGGAGCCAGGGCTCAGGTAGGTGTAGATGATGGTGGAGTAGTACATGGTGACGGCGATGAGGTGGGAGGAGCAGGTGGAAAAGGCTCGCCTCTTCCCCTCGGCTGTACGCATCTTCAGGATGGTGGAGATGATAAAGCCATACGACACCATGGTAAGTAGGAAATTCAGCACGGCAAAGAAGATGTCAGCCATAATTGACATGATGTCATTCACGTACGTGGAGGAACAGGACAGCAGCAGCAGAGGGGGGATCTCACAGAAGAAGTGATCGATCACGTTGGACCCACAGAAGGTCAACCGTAAAATCAGGCAGGCATTGACTCCAGCACCGAGCACGCTGATGCCCCACACAGCCCCAGCCAGCACCACACACACCCTGGGGCTCATCATGGATCCATAGTGCAGAGGCTGGCAGATGGCCAGGTAGCGGTCATAAGCCATGGCGGTGAAGAGCAGTAATTCTGCTGCTAGAGACCACGTCAGGAAGTACAACTGGACCACACAGCCCCAGTAAGAGATGCCTCTCTTCTCTGCCACCAGCATCTCAAGCAGCTTGGGCACCACGGTGCAGGCACAGATAACATCAAAAACAGCCAAATTGACCAAGAAAAAGTACATGGGGGTGTGGAGCCTGGAGGTAAAGGCGATGGCTGCCACAATGAGGGAATTTCCAGAGAGCGCCATGGTGTACAGGGAGAGAAAGAGGATGAAGAAGAGAGCCCGGAGCTGTGGCGCTGCTGAGAAACCGCGCAGGATGAATTCTGTCACCAGTGTCTGGTTACTCATGGCTGTGTGCATGATATTTCAATCAGTTCACAGAGATTGAAGTTTCTTTCTTACTCCATAGTTTGACTAGAAAGAAAGGGTTTATTACTATTGGTCAATACAAGTGCAAGGATTATCATCACCTTATTCTCATTTTCCATTTTCTCTAGGTCCTTATAATCTCTCTGCTTAAACAGCCATCACTCTGGACCCAATAGCCTCTGCTCAGCCCTGGAGGCCATCAGAAGCCACACATATTATTTGTCTTCAATAATGCTCTTCTCTTCATTTTATTCCTCCCAAATGAACATAGCTTCAAGTTTTTCTGCCTATTTCTTTTAAAATCCAAGCAGCATAGACTTCTGTAATGAGGAAGTAAAATACTCACCATCCTCCAAGGGCATGAGCATCTTTTCTGGGATTATGTCTTTTACTTCTTTGGACTCACTGGCTTTTCCCCCAAGGATATTTGGTAGTGACCTCTCCATGTCACTGACAGAGTCACCTACCCTCTTTCGCATATGCATGGTCTTCCACTAGAAACGGGCAGGACGTTTTCAGTCCTGAAAGCCTCAGTAATTTATTTCTGGCTAGCTGCCTGGCTGGAGCCCACCACAGGTCCTCTGTGGTGCCCAGCAGCCTGTCTCCATGTGGACCTCAACCTCATCAGTCCCTCTGCTCAAACATGACCTTGATCCTTTCACTTTGGTGGGGTCGGGGGTGGGGGGAGGGGGAGAGTTATCTGATTTGCTGACTCCGCACTTCTCAGCCGTGGCCAAGCACATGCGCTGCTCTCTCGGACCCTACAGTTGTTTTTCTCACTCATTTTTCTGACTTTACTCTGGAGAGACTATACTCTGGGACATAAATACAGTTAGACCTCGGCCAACCAGAAATGTGCATGAATTTCATAAGGAGGTACTCCCCACCCCCTGATAGGTCCAGTACTAAGCCGCCTGGAGCCACCCTCCTGTGAACCTCTCAGGTCCTCTTGGATTTGTTCCCTTCTCTTTTCATTTATTACTGGAGATGAAATCCTGTAAATGGCATGAACTCCTTTCCTCATATCATGCACCTCTCTTCTTCTCCACAAAAAATAATACACCATCTTTCACATTGTCGTTTCAACCTCATTTCCTCGGGGAAGCGAGCTCACACAAGTGCAGCGCTGGTGTGCCCCGGCCATGATTCACAGACAAGCGTCACTCCATTTATACTCTTGTACTTGTGTCTCCCCTTATGTGTCACCGCCAGGTGGCCAGCCAGCAACTGCACCGCAAACCCTACGGAGCATGGAGGCATTCATCACAGCGCCTCAACGCGTTCAGCACCACGGCCAGCGCCACGCCTCGCCGCCTGCTGTTCAGCACCACGGCCAGTACCTCAAACTCAGCCCCCTGCGCTGGGGCTTTTGTGTCAAGGATGCGTCCTCTTAACAGAACGACGCCTGCAGCATCCTGTGCTGAGCTTGGCCCTCTTGCCTCTTCAGCTCCGTCCAGATACCCTTCAGGGGATTGCTTCGGTGACTGAGCAGGGGTTCTCCTGTGATGTAGCTGTGACTCCTGTCTGTAGATTTAGGGAACCTGCGTCTAGGGGAAGCATTCCTCTTCATATGTTAGGTTTTTCCTCTCCTCCTTCATCTGATCTCTTTATCCGACAGTTAATCTCCATAACTTGGTAGCAGTTAAAATATATACCTTCTTATATAGGCATATCTCAAGGGCTGAGAAATCTGAGCAATGTTCTAGGCTGGAGAATTGTCTTCTCTGGCCTTTAAGATGTCTGTTTGTCTTCTTCTTTCTGATACCTCCCCAGGCCCTTAACCACCACTTCTAAAGCAAAGTCTTTGTGGAGCACAGTTCTCAGCAAACAACTTCCCACATATACCCTGAGCTCAGGTGCAGTTAAGTCAGAGTAAAGAGTGGAGCAGTGGAAACCATCAACACAATGAAAGGCAACCTACTGAGTGGGACAGGTTATTTGTAAATCATATATCAGGTAAGGGGTTAATATCCAAAATATGTAGAGAGCTCACACAACTCAGTAGCAAAAAAAAAATCTCATTAAAAATGGGCTAAGGATCTGAATAGATGCTACCCCAAAGACATATAGGTGGAAAACAGGTATATGAAAAGATGCTCTAAACATCAGGAAATGAAAATCAAACCACAATGACATATCACTTCACACCTGTTAGAATAGCCAATAATAAAAAGGGACGAAATAAGTGTTGGTGAGAATACAGAGAAGAGGAAAGACTTGTGCACCAATGGTGGGAAATCAAATTGATGCAGTCACTATGAAAAGCAGTATGAAGGTTCCTCAAAATATTAAAGATACAACTACTACATAATCCAGGAATTCCACTTTTCAGTGTGGGTATTTATCTGAAGCAAATGAAAACACTTACTCACAAGGTATGTGCACCCCGTGATTAGCAATAGCCAAAATACGGATACAACCTACATTTGCATTGACAGATACCTGTATAAAGAAATAGTCAGCTGCCATGTGATCTCATTTACATGTAAAATCTGAAAAGAACACAAGAAAGGAAATCCAAGCTCATAGATGAAGAGAACATACTGCTGGTTGTCAGGTGTGGGGGATAGAAAATGGGCAAATGTGTGAAGGGAGTCAGGAAGTAGAGACATCCAGTTATACAATAAATATCAAGGGGATATAATATACAGCATGGTGACTATGGTGAATAATACTCTACTGCTTATTTGGAAGTTGCTAAAAGAGGAGACCTTTTAAGTCCTCATCACAAGAAAGAAGTCTGCAATTCTGTTTAGTGATGGATGTTAACCAGACTTATGGTGGTCATTTTGCCATAAATACAAATATTGAATCATTATGTTGCATACTTGAAACTAATATAATGTTATATGGTAATTAAACTTCACTAAAATAAACAGAATAGAGACTGGAAAATTCATAACCCTGTAGTGACAAATAGCCCATACTTTGGCTTGGAGGCCTGTGGTTTTTCTGTCCTAACTACAGAGCTCTCCCACAGTAGTGTGAAAGCAGCCACAGACTATTCTCAAATGAATGGGTGTAACTCTGCCCCAATCAAATTTTTTTTTACAAAAACGTGGGTGACCAGGTTTGGGTGGTAGTTTGCAGACCCTTTACGTAGAAGAGGTGCCATACTCAAAATATAGAAAATACAATTCATTGTACAGAATACCCTGTGTGGAACTCAAGGTTTAATCATAGCAAGCCACAAATAACTACTAAGCATATTCAATATCCAAATTCAGTGCTAGGTGCTCTGAAGGCACAGCAACAAAGTAAGACCAAGTATCCCCAAGAAGCTCAGTGCTGGGAAGCCAAGACTTGAACAGAATAAAGTGACAGAAATACTATACATCATACAAAGAAATGTTACAAGGATAGGCTTACATTAAGCGAGGGTCATTTAGGACTCTACTAGGGGAAAAAGTCAGATTAAAGAACAGAATCAGGGTAAGCTAACAAAGTCACTCCCCCATTTGGTGCTTAGGGTCCAGACGTCAAAGAGTCACTCAAGCTCTTCTCCTGCAGCTGTCGTGGAGGGACCTGTGGATGGCTTCCTGGCTTCCAGGGAGTCCATGCCCATGAACACACAGTGCTGCTGTGGGTGCGAGGTCGTGCGCCAGACCTGTGGGCATGTTTGCAGCCTGTTTTATTCTTTTATCCTTGCAGTAAACTCTTTGTTTTTATTGAGATATAATTGACACATTATATTAGTTTCAACTGCACATCATGAAGATTCAGTATTTGTATCTTTTTGTAAATGATTGCCACAATAAGTCTAGTTAACACCTCTCACCACATATAATTACAATATTTCTTTCTTGTGATCTGAATTTTTTTATCATTAATGTACAATTCATTAAACAACATGATGGTTACTAGATCCCCCGTATTATCAAGTCTCCACCACATACCCCATTACAGTCTCTTGTGATCTGAACTTTTAAGATCTACTCTCTTAGCAACTTCAAATATGCAATACAGTATTATTCACCATAGCCACCATGCCATACATTACATCCCTGGTCATTTTTTTATAAATCGAAGTTAGGTTTTGACCACTTGCACCCATTTTGTCTGCCCCCATCCTCCCCACCCCATCTCTGGCAATCTGATTTCTAAACAACCCACTCAGGAGACTATATATCCATGAGTTATGAAATTGCCCCTATTTCTAAGCTCCTTGCATCTTCAGGACCTTTCCCACATCCTAGAAATTAGAGAGAAAATGATGAAAAGCCAGAGAACACAGGCAAGCCTGAATCTGGTGCCAGAAGACCACCACCTCTCCCTGTGATCCTGGAGAGAGTCATGCTCAGGAACAATGAAAAGGAAACCGAAATAACATAGATCATTAGATGATGAAAGCTGTACTGTGTGTGGGGCTCTCCTTTTCCTCTCCCGTAAAGCTGAAAAGGAGGCCAGAGCCATTTCCCATCTCACTGATAGCTTTCTTATTGTGAAATATGTACATTTTAAAATTAAAAGGTCTAATGGAGGTTTAAATTGTACCCCATGATATTAAGCTTTTGATTGCTGAGACATCCCTTTCAAAGACATCAATCTCAAATAAACACATTTCCAGCTACTCAAGGAGATAAAAGCCAGGCCACACCACCCATGATGGCCCCCTTTTGGAAAGCCCCGGGTGACCTAGATAACCCGCTGCTGAGGGGACCTTGCGTCTCCGGTTCTCACACCCTGATCCTGCCCTTCGGGGCGCCAATGGAGAGTGAACCTGGGGGACCCTAGGCCCCCACCCTAGATGCCTTATAGGCAGAGCCCCAAGTCCACACCTTCTTTTTCTGTACTCAAGGCCTTGTTTTGTGGTCCTGGGCATGCCATGCACCCTTCAGGATCTGAGAGTGGTGAACCTGGTTTTTTCAAAGTCGCCTGTGGTTGTGGCTGAGCTGCATCCTGCGATCAAAACTGCAAGGGCAGGTCCAGCCCTAGGCGGGGCTCCCATGGGGAAAATGTCCGGGGCTCCCCACAGCATCATGGCTGCAGGTTCACGCCCCAGACATTCCTACCACTGGCGTCTCCATGAGCAGGCGGACAGCCCCTCCCAGCCCGAGTCCTACTGCCTTGGGCTCCAGCATCAGCCACACACAGGGACGAATTTTCGGGTCTCTCCTCACCGTTTTCCTTCCTTTCCTGCACACCGTTCATCTCATTGACATTTAACACAATTGAAAGGAAACCACACCCGCAGCAATGTTACAATGAGCGCGTCATCTCCTCACGCACAGCGTTCCTGCTGCTCATAGACCTCACAGCTGAGAGGCCCAAACGCATAAAACGCTGGGTTGGTGGGAGAGGTAATGTGATTTCCTGGAAAGTGCAATTCAAGTAAAGCAACTTTCCCTGAAACAGGAAAAATAAAGGTGAAGAAGTGAGGGAAAGGGTTATTTAAATATGTACAACCTCCAACGTTCCAAATCTGGGGCAAGGGTGCCAATGCCACTTTCTCAGCCACGGTGCTGGGCTACACAGTGAGAGGGGGCACGAAATGCAGGCAGACACACTGAGAGGAGGCCCTCGCTCGCCATGGAGGGTTAGGTGCCCAGGGTGGTCCTCTGTGGGGACGTCTGAGGACCCTGTGACAGTCAGAACCTGCGCACACAGGCGGAGCAAGTGCCTTTCACAGGAACCGTTCACAGCGGCTCACCTAAGTGCCAAATTTCCCTGTTTGCTTGATTCTGAGCCAGCCTTGGACGTTTGTCTACTCGGTGAGGAAGGAGCACCTGTTAGGACCCAGAGTGACCTTGGACAAGTGCCTGCCCTCTTCAGGCCTGTTTCTCCTAACAGGCACTGCCTGAAGAGGCTTAGGGGCCAGGCGCTCTTTGTTTCTCCAGCCCTCTGGTCCCCTGCGTCCACCATGCAGACACCCAGATCGGCCCTGGGAGGTGGACCCCCACTGCCCTCATACTCTGGGGGAGACAGAAGGAATACCTCAAACCCATGCACTGTCAAGTCCAGAGCGACCCCAGGCACTTTGGGTGTGTGTGACCTTCTCAGTGTCGAGAGGAGGAGAGTTGGTAAGACTTTTACCTGGATTTGGAGATCTAGGTGCTGGAAGGCCTGTGGCAGTGTCCAGTAGGATCAAGGAAACACGGAATGTGGCTGCAAAGAGCAGCGGGGAACTGCAGGCTCCCGAGACTGGGGTGGTTTGGCCCATGCCAGGAGGACTGGGTGAGTCTCCCTCAGGTGAAAGTCAGATGCTTGACTCAAAGGCAGACTTTGTTCCTCCCAGCATGGAAATTTAAGTACAGTTGAGACCAAAAAGCTCAGGCCAAGAACTGACTTCTTCATCTGAGGGACAGACAGTAAACAGAAATGCCTTCTCCAGAGTATTTTTTCATATTATTTGATATGGATCATTTTACAAAGAACGGAGAAAGTTTAAAGCAGTAATCTCATCAAATATACATTATTTTATAAACCTGACTATAGCAATGAGAGGCACAAACAGATAATTGCTTATCACAATTTAACTCTGACAGTTAATAGAATATTATAATACAATCCATTTGAGATCAGAATGGTTCAACATTACCTCTTTGATATTACAAGTAGATATTTCTAAATTTAACTTTTTGTTATCCTTGTTGATTTCTGAGGGGACATTCTTACCTTATCTCAAAGGTGTTGTTCTTAGTAACTCTGTAAGTGGAAAGTTGAGGCGCACTGGTGGAGTTTTATTTACCACTAATTGTGCAAGTACGAAAGGAAAATTAGCCACCCACTCCAAGCCCATAAACTCAACTGCATAATACTTATATCTGCTAAGATATAAATAAAGAATAAACACCAGGTCATGAGTGAATGACTATGCATCTATGACAGGTTGAGCGTATCCAATTTTCTTAGGAATCCATAAACAAATTACTGCAAGTCTCACATCATCCCACTGACAATGACACAAACATACAAGTTCAAGAACATAGATCATCGGTTCTTGCCTTTGTGGTTGGTCAGTGGTTCTTAGGGGGATGAGTATGCCTCACTTTTGAGGCTGCAAAATTAAAGACAGAAAAACAGAGTATGTCAGACAGTTTCCAGAATATGTGAAATAGGACAATCAATAGACTTGTAAAGATGAACAGGACCTTTAAGGAGGCACTTCACAGATCCATGAACAGACTGGGAAGTGGCCTCTTTTATCGAGCTTCCTAGCACAGTGAGAGCTGTCACCACGGAGAGCCATTCATCCCAGGCGACCTGAGGAATGTGTTACCTCAGCGCTGCTCAGTTTCAGATGCTGCCAGGCTCGCACTGACAGCTCTCCTTGGTGCCACACTGTCCTTTCCAGATGCCGAGACTGTTGACTCTAGGCCACCACATCTCCCAAGCACTCAAAAGCTGGGCAAAGCCACCATCCACGATTATGCCCACTTTTTAAATTTAAATAATGTTTTCTTCTTAATTACATAAGTTTGACTTCTCTTGTATTGCTAAAAATTAGATGGCATGAACTACAGAGGAGTAAAAAGAGCAAAAGTCAATTTGCCCATAAGCCTAATACCTAGGATGTTATTGACACAGTTTTGTCTGTGTTTTCTTTCATTGAGGTTACAAACTGTTGTGTCTGTTTTTCCAAATGACAGTGGAAGTTGCAGTTCTGATAGGAATACAGGGCATCTTAATGCTAAAAGCTCCCTCTTCTCCAGGAACCCATATATAACAACAAAGAAGGGGGGCAACAAGCAATGTCTTTAACAAAACTAGGAGACAGAGAAAATCCCAAACCCCAATTTCTGTATAAATTACATACCCATCAGAACTGACAAGAGAATTCACCTGATGACACAGGTAGAAAAAACCTTCCAAGAAAATTCATGTCCAGAAGTAAAGGGCCCTGTCCTGAGTGGAAATTGCAAGGAGCAAATCTGAGAAGAAAAAATGAGCATGAATGGGGTGGTGGAGTGGGGAGGGGGCTGGGGGCATCACTCTTGGTGACAGCAACTGGCTGTAAAATAAATGAGGACAGCGAGCTGGTAGTAGGGGTGCCCACCCCCAACCAGCTACACAGAGGGGCCATGTATTAAAGAAACTGTTCTTCCTATGAGCTCAGAAACTGGGACAATTACCCCTTACCCCTATAATAGCCCCCACAGGAGATATTCATCTGCTATTACCTGGAGCAAAAAAATCCAAACATTCTAATATGGACTTATAATAAGTCTTCAATGTCTAGAAAGATATTCTCTAAGGAGAGGCCTGAATAAAAGAGAAAAGAAATTTCACTGCAGAGAAAGAAAAGCCATCCTAATGGTTTGACATGATACAGAGGACATTATAACCCAACTTTCCAATATTAATTTAAAAATAAACAACAAAGAATTTGCAACTCTCAAGAAATACCTAAAAGTACAATAAAATAACATGGTAGAGATGTATGAACAACCTGGGGAGGTGACTGGTAGAGTTTAGAGATAAATAGAAAAAATAAGACAACTTGGCAAATTAAATAAAACTTAATTGACACAAGACAGAAACACAAGAGATAAAAGAGACAAGACAGAACTCAGCGAGAGACACAGAGGACACAATAAGAAAAGTGAAAAAATTAAACACAAATAAATACAGAGATAAAAATGATTAGGGGGAAAGTCGTAGGTCTGGAAGAAAAGGACCGGCTATCTGACAGACAACAGACACATCCCTGGAACTCTCAGAGGAAAACGTGAAAACAATAAACAAAAATACTTTAAAATGTAATCTAGCACCTCTACTTATGTTAGGATGAAGTAGCTTGTGGCAGACCAGTATTTATCCCAATGACATCATATAAAATATATAAATTTTACATCGAAAATTCATATAAAATACAAGAATGACTTATCTAAGGGTATCCAGTTCCCTCTGAAGCAATGAAGACCAGAGAAGTTAAAATTCCATGGAAAAGAACTTTGGAGAAATTAACAGCCAAGAACTTTAAAATAATTTTAATAAGTATATTAAAGAAAATAGAGACACCATGGACAGAATAAATGCATTAAAAAGATGAGGATTTTCACAAGGGAAATAAAATCTTTAAAAATTCAAATGGAAATTCTACAACTGTAAAATACAGTATATCTGAAATCAATGACCCTGTATATGAATCTCCTTGCAGATCGGGCACAGCAGAGCATAAGATCAGAGAAATAAAGATGAGCAGACAGAAATATTCCCATGGAACCGAGGAGAGAAAAAATAGAAAATTCATCAAAGAGTGAGGGGGGCATAGTGAACATGTCTGATGCATGTGCAATTGGAATCCCACAGTAAGAGAGGAGGGTGGGGGAGGAGAGAGAAGCCATGACTAAAGAGGCAATGAAGAGCTTCTTAAAACAAAGGAAAACATCAATTCAAGAAATTTCAGCTTTCTCTTGAGGGTGTGACCTCTGGAATGGTGGCGTGAGGAGCATTTAATTGGTGAAAATTATAATAACAAACAATTAAGGTATCTGGAAATTGTCTTAAGGTTACAGAGCAAATGGAAAAACATTTATGCAAGAAAATCTGTTGTGTCATGGCAAAAACAGTGAAAGCATGTTGAGTCGGGACCCTCCCCGCTCCCGACCCAGCCCGGTGTGAGGAAGCTCTGCTCTAGGTGAGAACGGTGCAGAGTGTGTGCCCCTCTGCCCTGCCCCCAGCGCACAGTCTGCAGCCATGGCTTCATCTCAGGAGGGAAAGCCTGTGCCATTTCTCGCCATCCTCCAGCTCCATGCTGCCCAGTCTCTGTATCAGCAGCAGCTGAGCAGAGTGAGAGCAGCCCCTACACAGGCGGAAGCTCTAGCCAAGGCAGAGCAGGACGGACATGCTAGTGCCCAGTTCCTTCCAGAGCAGCTCACTCAGGGGTAGACGTTCCATGTTGGAAGGAGCAAGCCCAGAAGACTAGGGGCTCCCAACCCCACCAGGGCCCCACTTGAAGAGAAGGAGTGTCCCTTGGGAAGCAGTGGGCTGCTGACCCCACTGAGCCCGCTCCCAGCCCCAGCACAGTGGTGCAGAGACTCTGCCGGGCACATAAGAACAGAGAGCTCCACAGCTCTCCCTGAGGGGACTGGTTTACTTTGGAAGAGAGTGTGGTAAAGTTCATAGCTAGGGATATTGTCAAAAACAATGGACATTTTAAGGGTAAGCAATTAACAGCAGCTGTTACATCCATGACACTAGTAGCAGAAAGCAAAATGGTAGATCAGCTAGAAATTTAGTAGGCAAAACCAGGCAAAAAGACAGTAGGAGCTTTCCTGGGGTCAGAGCCATCCTCGAAGACCGGCAACAGCCGGCCCTGGCGGAGACGAGCACGACTTTAACTGGATCAAGCTGCTGTTGTCAAAGACAATAGCGCGTAACAGGAGGAGAGTTTCAGCTTAGGAAAATGAAAAAGTTCCAGACACAGTGGTGATGGCTGCACAACAATATGAATGTACTTAATGCCACTGAATTGTACCCAAAAATGGTTAAAATAGAAAATTGTACGTTATGTTCCGTATCTCTTACCACACTAAGAAACAGCAATAGAGCGGGCATCCAGCAATGGGCGGAGGCCGGCCGCCGGGCTTGATGTCAGCAGAGGCAGGCCAGCCAAAAGCTTGTGGAAGAGAGTGCGGCTAAAGCCAAACTCGCCCCTAGTAGAAGCGAGGCTGCGCATACGCCCGCGACCTCTGTCCCCGGAGTGACGTCGCGGGCCGCGCACCGCGGGTGACACAGACCCCAGTGAACTGCGGCAGGCGAGTCATCAAACCAGAAAGCAAAACAAAACAAAAACAACGCCAAGCCTCAGCGAAGGGGTCAGTGCCCAGAGTTGCCACAGCTCACAGCTGACCTTCAGCAGCATGGGACTGAGCCATACAGGTCCACTTACACCTGGATTTTTTTCAATAACTATATTGGAGAACTTTTTGGAGATTTGCAACAATTCTTTAGAAGTCATAAATGAACCACGAGTAGCCTAGAAATAACAAAAAAGTTAGGTAGGCCACTAATGTATACAACATATGTAGATTTAGTCTGTGTTATCATTAACTATCAAAAAATCAACAATGGTCTATTATTGGTTAAGTTTTGGGGAAATCACCGCTTATATACAGATTTTCGACTGTGTGGGGTTCCAGCACACCTAACCATCTCATTGTTCAATGGTCAACTGTATTATCTAAAATGTTGCTTTCAACAAAAAATGTTTGAGACCTGCAAAGAAACAGGAAAATGTGACCCATGCACAGGAACAAAAACAACACATGCCAGACACTGACTGTGGGGTCCAGCTGTTTGGCTTAGCAGACAAAGGCTTCAAAGCAGCTACGTAAGTATTGTTCAAAGAATTACAGAAAACCATGTAGAAAGAGTTAAAGAAGGCATCACAAGATCACATTAGATACCAAAGATCAAAGACAGAAATTATTTTTAAAAGAACTGAATGGAAATATTATAGTTAGAAATACACTAACTGAAATGTGAAATGCACTAGAAGGACTGAACCACAGAAATGAACTGGAGGAGAAACAACTAGTGAACTTGCACACAGACTGATAGAAATTAAGCAATCTGGAGAACAGAGAGGAAAAGAATGACAAAAAATGAACAGAGCCTCAGAGACATATGGAACAGCATTAAACATATCAATGTGTGCACAATGGGAAACTAGAAGAGGAGAGGAAGAACGGACAGAAGAAAGAGGTCCCAGCCTTCAGCTTTGTGGGCATGTACCTCACAAGGTTCGATGGAAAAGCCTGTTCTAGCCCAGAATGTGGTGCCCACCCGCACCTCAGCCTCACTGGGTGCAGCCCCCTCCAGAACGGCTATCCTCAGACACCTACATAGACACCAGGACCAGGAACTCGGACATGACTGGGGCGGGACGGGGGTGTTAAGGCAATGCCTGTGTCTGAGCTGCTCTTTGCCACTAGGAGCCTCTCACGGTCTGCTCTTCATGATGCATTTGACATCCTCAGTAGATCTTGAAATCATGTTTTTTTATGTATATTGTCTATTTGTGTTGTTGTTTAAGGCTGTGGGATAAATGTATATCCTAGTACTCCATTTTAACTAGAAGCCAGCATGGCTTCTTTTTTAACACAGAAAA